TGGTTCGGTTAGGTTCGGGAGAGAGGGCGGGGGTGGGGTTTCGTGAATGAGTAAATCAGGAACTAGGGGCCGGGCGGGGTGAGGGGGACGAGGGGCAGACAGGGCGCAGTTGCGGTGGAGGAGGTGCAGTGGCGAGGTGACTGGAAGAGAGAGGGAGGGAGGGGGTTGAAGGAAGGGCTGGGGCGACGCACGGAGAGGGGTAGATTTAGCGTAAGGGGGGGAAGGGGGAGGAGCACCCCTCTCCCCTCCCCCCCTGCTCTCAACCAGCTCTCCCCCCCCTCCCACCGCAGGTCCAGCACCCTGTTCTTCAGCCGTGTGTCCTCCCGGGGGGGCTCCTGCTCCTCCGCCTCGGAAATGGGGAAGGGCAGTGGGCGGGTGACGACATTGAGGATGTCCACACTCTCAGCCAACAGCTCCAACTGGGCGGAAAGGGGAGGGGTGGCGCCGGGGGGGTCGGGGGGTAGGGTTTCAGGGTTTAGGGTGGAGGAATGAGAAGTAACCCTTATCCCACGTGAGGTGTGAGGTATTTCAATGTGCACCTGGTGATACGCACCTCTCTCTCTCTGTGTGTGTGTGTGTGTGCACCACGGGACGGCCCCGGCCGCCGCTCCCTACTGCCTGATCTCTTCTTCCTACTCCCCAGTTCCCCCTCCCCCTTCCCCCCGTACAGCTCCGGAACCCACCTGGCCGGTGGGTATCCGCGGGTTGGGGTCCTTCCGAGCCCTCAGCACTCCCCGCACACACACGACATACTCGTTACGGAGCCGGGAGGCGGTTCGGGACACCTCGGGAGGCACACTCTGGGGCTCACACATCACCTGGGGGGGGGGGAGGGGGAGCAGGTGTGTATTGGGGGCCTGCGTGTGTATGTGTGTATGTATGGTTTGGATGGTGGGGATTGTGGGGTGCGGTGCTAAGAAGGAGGGAGGTCTGTGTGGTACACAACCGGGCGTACCTAACCCTGACCCATGCGGGCGGTTCGAGGCATGAGTGGCGAGCACTCTTGTGCGACCCGCAGCGCAAGCAACACGAAGACTGTCCCCCCCGTGCGTGTCTTGCTGCCCTCCATAAGGCCCATCCGAGGTCCCAACCACCACACCACTGAGGGAGTACCTCCGGGGAGCGGAGGGGAGCCTAAACAGGCAGCAACTACCACATCCTGCTGTCCGTCAGGCTCCCTCGCCCCCGGCTCTCGAGGGTGCCTGGAGCGCCAGGAGGGTTTGCGGTGCTCTCTGTTACCACCTCCACAGTCAACACTCAACACACCGACGCACAAACATACCCACGCACGAACACACCCAAACCCCCAGCGGATGGTTGATCAAGTCGGACGCGTGGCCGACGTCGGTGGACCACAGCCCGCCCTTTGATGACGAGATGCCCCCACAAGATGGCGAGATGCCTTGGAGCGAGATGCCTCACAGCTTCCCTACCCAATTCATGTTTACATCAAAACGGTGGATGGTCGTTGACGCACCTGCAGGAGGCCGCTGTGGTCGCGGACGTCAAAGAATTGCACGCCGCCCATGTCGCGATTCCGGTCCACCCATCCGCAGACGGTAATACGCGAGCCGATGTCGTTGACGGTGACTGCACCACATCCATGTGAGCGGCTTGGCCAAGTCAGCTGGCTGGACATGACGCTTTCTGCCGCCTGCGCCGTGCCATGCCGCAGCTCGTCCTTGCTCGGAAATGGCTGCTGCTGTATCCCAGCCTCTGGGCTGGCAATCGAGCTTCGGGACACGATGGAGGTTCGCGATTGATTTGCTTGCGTTGGCTGCGGCAGCGGCAGCACTTGCCAAGGCGTCGTGGCTAAACGGTGTTCGGCACATCGCGCCGAGGGCACTGGTACACGAGGAGTTGATGATGCGAAAAAATATAACGCGTTCTTGTATTCGCGATGTCTACCACAAACAGTGTGCGCTCTGTTTAAGACTGTCATTCTTAATAAGGTAAGCGCTCGCAATGTGCACCACTTGTCGACGAATACGCTTTCAGTAGATCAAGTACCTAACTTAAGCAGTTATTCCCTGTTTGATAAGTAACTTATGGCCATCTGGTCTCGGAGCCGAGCATGACAACAGCCGTGCTTCTAATGCGGCGTACGCAGTTAAAGCTTTACGTCACGATGATGACGTGAAATAATTGAGTCTCTACCTAGTGGGCATTCAAGCGTGGCCCTGCACGTCCGAGGCACCGTTGTCCGGTACCGTCCGGTTTTCAGTTGTTGGGTTACAAACCCTAAGTGTACAGTACCTTTGGCTGTCTGTGTCATAGATAATCAGTGCAGACTGGAGATGCACGCTGCGATACTTTCCCGCTACCACCAGAAAATTTGGCTGTCATTCTTCCTTCCCCACTTAACTGACCAAAGACAGCAAGCATATCCATGCGGCTCATGACCCACCAGGAACCAGCCCTCAGGTGCTCCCAAGGAAAAGCAAGGATGAACTGTTGCCTTTCTGGTTGATTTGTTCTCGGCCTGTGCACTCTGTGCACTCTGCTGCCAGTACCACCATCGGTTCGCATGCGGATCACTGGCTGCACCGCGCATAACACCCCACCCTGGAGCGGCTGTCCGTTCGTATGCCCAGGCCACACAGCACCAGGTTGCCAACGCAAGACACCGCAAGCAACCTCGACCATATCCGACACTGCGGCTACTGGCAGAATCTCTTCAAATTTCATGAAGCCCGGGAAGCAGCCTCCTTCGGTCTCGACCGCATACGGCACTTCAGGGGAAGCTGTCAACGAAGGAGACAGGTCAACACAGGCCCCCAGTGCACAGCCGTGATGCCCATTACACAACAGCATTCATCACGTCCTGACCCCGCTCGCATGCTTGCAGCATGGGGAGATAGCTTGTAAGGGGAGATGCGTTCCTTCCCCCTGGTGTACCTTTCTTTCCGACGACAGGACGGTTACAGAAGGGTAAGAACTCAACCCAAGAAGTGCCAAGTAGTCAAGAGAGTGAACTCAGAGGCTCCAACAGAACCAGCTCCGCCCACGCCCCTCTCGCGTTCCTATCCGAATCACACCCCACGTGCTGGCGTTGTCTTTCCATTCCAGATAGCTTCAGTAGCAATTCCAGGTTCAGAAGCAAACACCGAACAGCCCACGTCATGTTGTACAGGAATAATTCCCATCTCAAATCCGATCCAGTACGGCACACGTCACTCACCATACGCCGCATGAAATTTGCCTGTTGTTCACACAATAGGGCGGGAGCCCAATCAGGCAATGTGGCCAAATAATGGTAATCGACGGCGTCGCGCTGGGACACGCGTCCTGCGCGTCTGCTACAACTACCTAGTCCCTCACCCCTCCGTTCGCAACACTTGTCACAGACAGACATACAGACATGTAAAACATTGTAAGTCAAAGATAAATAGGACATTAGGAGGCCCCGTTGCAACATCTTCCCCTGGTAAATCTGATCGACCTGACCAAATGACTCACGGCTCCGCACAACAACGGGCAATGCCAATGTAAGAAAATGCTCAACCAGTGCACATCACAGGATGGCATCCGATTCCTAGCTATCTAAAAAACCTAGCTAGCACACTACTACTAGCAGGAAAGTCCATCACAGGCTGTGAGCCTAATAAGAAATGTGCACAGAATGTACCGGGCCACTCCGTCCCACCACACGAAAGACCCTCTGGCGGGCTAAGGCACCCACCATCACTGCAAATTAATATAGGTAGCCCTCCAAATGGAAATGGCGGCAGGCGGGCGTGCAACAACAACCACTCCACTGCAATACAATCTGTCGTCATCCTACCATACACATGCAGCATGCAGCTAATCCTACAAAATATCCATAACCTACTGACCTACATACATACGGGCACACACCGTCGTCGTCGGGGACAGAAAGCGGCTTTTCACTCAAAGCAGGTCTCTACGTAACCTGCGAATCTACTCCCTATCCATGCCGTACATTGATAGGCACAAAGCGCGAAGCTAGGAAGCTAAGGAAGCACGGCCGTCTTACTCATCCTCCTCCTCAACCATGGGGTAGTACTGCATACCCCCGGAGGGAGGGCTCAGGGGCCCCGAATCAAAAAATCACGCAACGTACATCTATCACATTGACCTGGCCATTGGCCGGGACGACGACAGCCTCACAGCTTAGCCCCAATCAATCAGGCCCTTCACAGCCAGGCTACGTAAGGACCCGGATGAATACCGACCCACATTAAACATGTACTTGGGATGCAACCCATTGAATGAAGTTAACAACATCTGACGACAACTCGCAAGGGCCAAATGCCGCTGCACTGAAAATGGCGACTAGAGGCACCTAGAGACCCGCAAACCGCCCCGTGGTCTTGTATTTCACGCTTAATGGAGCTCGCCCAGACGCCCAGTCGGGACGCTCCGACGCCGCGGCGGTGCGGTTGAAGTGATCCTGGTACTCCGTCTTCTGCAGGTCGGCATATGGGACCAGTGCGACTGGCTTCGCGCTACCCGTGCTGTAGCTACTGCTGGTGCTGTAGGTCATGCCTGCAAGGGGCAAGCGGACGGTGCGGTTTGCTTAGTAATAGACGGCGACAAGGCTTGCGGGTTAGATTGTAAGCGGGCATTGCAGTAAAGCATCAACGGGCAGCAGGACAATCGCAGCCGACCGCAACCTACCGTTTGCAAGCTCGAATGTTCCGTTTCCTCTGTACGCGAGCGTAGACAGGCGACCGGACCATCCGCGAGGTGCTGGGGGCTCGCCCATGACTTTCAGCACTGTGGTGCCTCCGCCGACTGTTGATGCCCGGGATGGCGGCTTCTGGTCAAGCCTCCTATCCAGAAAGTAAGGGCTGTTCTCGTAGAGCTTTCCAAACGTGCTGGTCTTGTGAGGTTCCTTGGATGTTGGCTACCGGTGGTTTTGAGAGCAAGGGAAGATAGAAGTTAGCCATCAGTATGACTCAAGCAAAAGCACATTAGAAGGTTAAGTGCAAGAAACCATTTCCAGGCAGGAAACCATAGAACAACAAGAAACGGCAATGTTACATCAGAGTTCACTAGGCGTTGGACAGCGTAGCAAAAGACTGCATAAGAACTGAACGTCACTGTGCAGCATTTAGGGGAAGTTTGATAGTCATCATAAAGCAGCCAATGGGCGCCGCTATTTTTGCGAAGAGGCTCTGTACCCTATTTACGCGCTGGCGAAACGAACATAGCCACGACCTCACCAACCTCTAGCCGCTAATAAACGGCGAGATTGGTGCATATCATCATGTAAATGCTATTAGAATTGGTTTCCCGACGGCGACGCTTCTCATACACTCCCCACCTACCGAGTCATGGAAGTGCTGATTCGTGGTCCGGTATTGATCTTTAACGTGCGGATACCTCTCCGTCTGGTTGCCAGTGAGCGCCGAGTATACCATTTCCAGCAGACGAAGGGAATAGACGCTTACGGGTAAAGAGTGTCCACCAGCCGTGTCCTAAATGGGGTTGCAGCTCGTCTATCAAGCACTTAATTAGCTTAATTATAATGCTAGCAGCAGCTGGGTCCAAACGCACAGGATAATTGTGGCGTATCAGAGATTATGCGAAGAGTGGCTCACTACCTCCTTATGTCCCTAAAGCACCATGCGCTGTGTGAGATGAAGCGAATCATAAGCCGAGAGTGCTTTAGTATCCCACATACGCTTAGATTTACGACACTAGCCAGGTACGACGATTTTGCGGTTGCGTTCTGTCTCTCTTGAGTTGTGGCATACTTTTCACTACAGACATCAACAGACAAACCTTGTGTTCGCATTACACAAAAGTTTTAGAACAAAGGACGGCCTTTTTTTGAACATGAAACCGGACTACGACAGCTAGGGTTATAGCTAGCATATCACCGTCTTCGTAGCTTACGTTGGACACGTTTTTTTTCAAGCATGTTGGAACAAACGTCGCATGGCTCAACTTTGCGGGTTGTAAGGCGACCAGTCACAGACTTTAGTTTCGGTTTCTTGGCCAGCGGAAAGCAGGCCGTCCTTGCACGGTATGGGCGCGCTCTTAGGCAAAACGCTTTTATTTATAAATTGCCATGGTCAGCAGCGGTGCTGCTGCCGCTGATGGAACTTCAGCTAATCGGGGCATTCCGGCGCTTGTTGCGGCTTGCGGGCCCGTAGGCCTCATCCACTCCAGTCAGGGCGTGTTGGCTTAGTGGATTCACATGGCCTTTATCATGTTTTTAAGCTCGGCGATGGTGGCTCTCGGGGATCAGTCGTCGCCACGTACGAGCTGCAATTGTGTACAGGTACCTTGGGGACACACCCCCAACAGCGTCACAACATGCTACTTCCTCATCACGGCACCTCCCCCCACTGCATGCTGTATGTGCGTCTAACCATGCTGCTCCCAGCTCACACCGCTACCACTGAAACCACAACCTCGCAAAAGCCATACTTCGGGCTGTATAGCCTCTCCTGCCAGCAAAGTATATGCGTCCCCTTGCAGGTGGCGGCTTCGCGCAGGCCCTGCGCAAGCAGTGGTGCGACTTTCAGCCCCTTGCCGACGATGGCCTGGTGCTGTGTCTTCGTGGCTCGGGACGTATTCTGTTTGCACAGCTGCCGCTGTGCGAGGGCGAGCACGGGCCCGTCTTCCTGTTTGGGGCACATGATGGTGAGCCCTAACTGGGCGCTCTGGCTCGGTCCGCGGTCATGGGGGGCAGCAAAACGGCTTTACCACCACCTTGCTGTAATGCGCTGTAATGCGGACGGGGACGAGGCTAACCAAACCGCAACCGACACGAGGAGAGTCGGGCGAAAAAGTGGTATGAGCACTCGGTAGTTTGCGGCGGCGACCTTACCCCTCATGAAGGTTTACGGCAAGGGCCGGGAGCCAGGAGCACGGTCATGCCAAAGCGCTTGCGGCAGCAGCAACAGCAGCACCGATAACTGCGGCAGCAGCAACACCAGTATGACCATGTTTTCATCGCCGCTCACCACCGCAATGAGCCTCCACCGCAGTGAGCCTCCAAACGTTAACCGCTAAGAACGAACGCAATCTGAGCAAACCCCCTTCGTGGACGACAACCCAACCCAACCCGGGCCCTCCAATACACCCCCTCACACACGCCCTCCCCACGGTTAGGTCCGGTACTGACTCTGGCCACCAACCGGGAGCTGCTGCTGTCCGGTGGGGCCGACGGGTGTGTGCGGCTGTGGGGCCTGGACAGCGGGGCGCTGCTGGACTGCTGCAGGGGGCAGCTGGCGGAGGACGGCGAGGTCACGGCTGTAACTTTCGTCGGCTCGCTCATGGTAATGTGGAATGGATGGGTTGGGGGGAATGGATTTACCTGCACGCAGGTTGAGTGTGGAGGAACCCAGCTCGCGGCAACCCGCTGTGTGCTTGTGAACAAAGTGACGAAGTGACGACACGAAAACATCATAGGGCATAACCGCGAGCTAGCTGCCTGCGTCGCCCGTCGCCTGCGTCGCCCAGTCCCCGTCCCCGACAACGCCAACACCGCTTCCCTACATTAGGTCGCTGCAGGCACGCAACAGGGCCACGTGACGCTGTACGACATCTCCACATCTCGCCTGGTTGTCGTACATCGCTTCAGCGCTGGTCAGGGGCCCGTCATGGCCTTGGCCAGCCGCCTCACCCCGCGTCAGATGCATGACGTGGTTACGGCCTCCGCACCACGGGGCTTGGACGGCGGGGGAGTCCTGGCGGCTCCCGTTGGGCTTCCCTGGAGAGACATGTCCGAGGGGTCGGAGTCGGGCACAGGTGGGTGTGTGGTGATGGCTGGTGTTGACAAACACCGAAGGACCGACCCACATCATTGTGAATAGTAAGTTGTTTCACAACTAAATGACTGAATTATACACGGCGCCGTACTTCGTTGCCGTTCCGGATTTTGATCGCGCGATGCCTGTTACATAGGCCTCTCAACCTTTCTGGACTTTGCCTTTGAAAATCTCCGCTGCTTTACCTGTACCATACTGCTCCCACCGGTGCCGTTGTAGCACTTGTTTTATGGCCCGTAACGGCTATGCGCACACCAGGATGCTAACCCCACACCCCGCCCCTCACTGCTGCCCTGGCAGCAGCTTCACTCGTTCGTGGTTCGTCTTTCCCTCACTGTCCCCCCCTTCCAACCTCCCCCCACGTGGCCAGACACGCTGTTGGCGGTGTCCTCCCCTGCCGCCTGGCTCAACGTGTTCCGCGCTGCTCGCAGCGGCGAGGCGGCCTGGCGGGTGGTGCACCACCAGGCCGTGGCAGGACAACCCTTCCTGTCGTTCAGTCCGGATGGACAGTACATGGCGCTGGCTGCAGGTGAGTACGTGGTGTAGGTGGAAAGAGGGTGAGGAGTAATGTCGGTGAGGAAAGCTCCCCTTGGAACTTCCCGTTTTGCCTTCGTGTCCTTCGGCGGTCCTGCTATTCTATCGATCTGACACCGGGAACAAGCAACCAGGTCGGTGAGGCGCGGGCCGGCAACGCACCTCGCCCGCGTGGCTGTGTCCTGCGCTCTTGCCGCGCCGCTCTCTTGCAGGGAACCGCTTGGAGCTGCGAGATGCCTCCACATTCCAGGCAAGAGGACCGCGGGGCTAGTGCCGGGGACATGTGTTTTGTACAGTTTTTCCGCACCTCCACAACCACAAACACCACAACCCGTCTCCCAGGACTCCAGCAGCTGGTGCAATTTGGACGTCGGCTGTTGTTTCTATGATATTTGCATGTAGTGGGGGCCCCGTCCCCTCTCTCCTCCCGCTTGGATGTCGCGGGGCTGCTCTACCTTGCCATACCCCAAGCCCCCTCTACGCCCGCACGAACCTACCTCGCCGCCATCCACTTGTCGTTTTCTGAACCTGAACAACTAACCCCAACGTGTGCTCAGAGCCCCCTCACGCATTGCACCTCGCGACAACGCAGGTGGTCCACGAGCAGCACTTCCCCCCGGGTGACCTGGTGGGCGGGGGGTTCCTGCCCGCCGCGGCGGGGGGCAGCGCACTAGTGGCCATGCAGCTGGGGACCACCCTGGCTGGGGGGATACAACTCAGGCTGTTTGCGGCACCGGCCAGAGAGGAGCCTCAATCGGTGCAGGTGGGGCTGCCGGCGGGATTTGAGGGAAGAGGGGGTTGAGGGTGCGGGGGGGGGAGACGCACGGCTTTAGGCGGCAGGAAGCTATAGGACACGTCTTCAATTACTGAGCGATCTTGGCCTTGGAATTATGTTACTGGGGGGAAAACAAGCTGAGGTCATCCGACATCCTTGACTGGCATTTTTCCTGACCTTACGTAATTGCCGCCGCCGCTGCTGCTGCTCCTGCTGCTCTTGCCGTCGTCTGCGAACCCCGACCCGATGGCCTCCACCGCGGACTTTCCTTCCAAACCTCTGGAGGAGCAGCTGACCCGGCCACTGCTGGATCCCATCAGGAGCAACAACGGCAGTAGCAACAGTAACAGGGCACAGCAGCCGTTAGACGCAACAGGGATTTGCGCCAACAGAGATGAAGACTTTCTTACCTGGCTGCAGCACCCAACAACCACCGCCTCCGACGATGACCCTGGCAGTACCCCGGCACCACCGGCGGCATCTCCTTCACCAGCACCAGCACCGGCACCGGCAGAAGGCTCAGCCGCCACAGCGGCGCTGCTTCAGGGTCTGTCCCTCGGCTCTAACCGCCTCGCAGGAGCAGGAGCACCAGCAGCCGGGCGAGCCAGCGCCACACACCCGCTTTCCCCCCTTCCGTCACCTTCGCCTTTGCCGCAACCCCACCCGACATGGGGCTGGGAGGCCTTTGCATCCTCCCCGCCCACCTCCCAGGAGGCCCCCCTGGTGCACCGCAACGGTGACCCACATCAGGCTGCTATTGCGAGACCACACTGGCTCCCGGAAAGCGACGGCGGCCGGCTGCTGGGGGAGCGGAGCCCCTCTGCGGGGCCATTGGCCGCCACTTCCTGGACCACTATGACTGGCGGCGGCACTGCTGCTGTCCCTGCCATGGCGTCGCCATCATCATATCAGCGACAAGACGCAAGCAGCCAGTCTCGATCCCCTGGCCCTGTCAGCGTGGGAGCGATCCATGGGTCCGCACATGAGACCGGGCAAGAGGGCGGAGGAGGCGACGCCGCTTGCGACGCGGCCGGCGCCACACACACCTGGCAGGCCTATCGTCCCGCCACTCAGCCCGCCCCGCGCAGCTGGATCACCGGACTGCCCCCGCGGGCAGGTAGGTTCCACCTGAAGGGTGTGGAGTGCAGTCCAGAGAGGGAGGACTGGGCAATGCACGAGCCGACCGCGCCCATCCAACACCGGTTCACCTCCTTGACCCTTCCGGGCCCCAACCCGGCGTTACGTCGGGTCGCCTCCTGCTGTACGCCTGCTTCCCTCTCTTCCCCTCTTCCTCTCTTCCCCGCGTCTCTCTCACTCGACCGCTGCCATTGCCATTTTCTCGTCACCTGCAGATTTCCTTCCTCGGCCCGTACCGCCACCACCACCGTTTCAACAAGCGCCACAGACTACCACCATTAAGCCACTCGCAACCGCACAGCCCGGAAGCCCCTCGGCATCTCCTGCTGCTACTGCCGCCACCGGGCCCCCTTCGGCATCACCAGCAACCTCCCCCGTAGGCGGCCAGCTGGCAGCCGGCACCGCGAGCCGGCCCCTCAGGGGGCGCATTGGCAGCCCCCAACCGGCTGCTAGCTGGGCTGCACGATACCAAAACACTGTTCTCTCCGGGCTCGTAGCGGAGGGCCAGGAGCAGTCTGGCGATTGCGTTTCGGAGCCGGAACCAGAGCTGCCTCATTCAGGCGCGCTACTGCCTGCTATGGATCGGCGGCGTGACTCTGCCGCAGTGGCTGTGCCAGGTACCAGCTCACCAGGGGGCTTGGTGTGCCTGCGGCTACGTGTCTTGGAAAAGGATCAAACATCACCTACCTTGCGTCAAAACAGCGCATATGGCCATATAATACCAGCAATGAGCCCGCGTTGCGTCATGACCCCGCTCCGATTATGATGTATATAACCCGAGCTCCCCTAACTCCAGTAACCACGAACCCGCTTCCCTCCCCCTTTCCCGGGGCCCCACGTGCAGCCTTTGGCGGCACCATTCGCCACACCGCTCCTGTGGAGTCCGCGGACGACGACTACCCGGACTTGGTGCGATCAGGAGCAGCCGCGGCACACAAGGCGGATGCGGAAGGTGGCAGCGATTGGGTCGAACGGCAGGGAGGGGGGGGGAGCTTTTCCTGGTGCGGGTTGGGGCCCGCAGGGGCTCGCGACGGAGCCGGAGGCGGTGAACCTGTCGACAACAGTTTGGGCGGCTGTGATGGCCCGCTGGTGTCTGGTGGATTTGCGGGACCTGCCAGCTGGCGAGAAGGTGACCTGGACATGGCGGCTCCGGAGGGCTTCAGGTGAGAGGGAGGGGGGACGGCCCTCGCCAAGGAGCTGTGGGTCTATGTATTGGTGTCGATACGGTGTGTACCCTGGGTGTGCATCAAAAGGTGCCTCTTAAGCATCGAGTGGAATGAGTACTGCTGTTGGCAATACAGCGTACCATGGCCATCTGACGTAGCACTGCAATTGTCGTATACTGTGCCAGGCGTCGTAGATTCATCATTGCTTTCTCTCACGCGTCATGAAGCCCTCTTGTTCCCTCTCCCCACCTAACAGGATGGCGTCCTCTGCTCCTCTCCCACCCACTAAACCACAACCAATCACAGCCACCCCACTGACTGAGTGACCGGGATTCTTTTCTGAATATCCAAACCCCACCCCCCAACCATTCTTCACTCAACCTACAGAACCCAAATCAGGTCCGTCTCCACCATGTCAGCCGCAGTAGCAGCCGCTGGCGGTGCCGTCGCCCGGGCCCGTAGCGACGACCCCATCCTGGCACACACACAGCCCTCAAGCACCTTCAGCGGCCGACATCTGCCGCTGCACAACCACCACAATCACCACCAACGCCATAAAGAGCAGTTGCACCTGCACGGCTCCGGCGACAAAGCAGCAGCGCCCCCGCCGCCGTCTGACGCCGCCGCCCCAACCCCAGGCCTCCTTCCTCGCCCGGCCAACGCAGCTCATCAGATCCCGCAACAGTCCTGGTGTAGCCAGGGCGCTGACGTGGGAAATTACAGCAACGAACCCCAAGCAGCAGCATCCACAGCAGCAGTAGAGGACGGAGGGTTGTTCCTGGGCAGTCAGGCCTGTGGCGATGCCGCCTTGGATGACACCTTGCGCGACTGGAGTGGCGGTAGTGGTTTTGGCGAAGAAGACACAGAAGACGACCCCCTGGGTCGAACCGCGTACCTGGGAACTGCAATCCAGGCCGCGCTCCAGGGAGGGCTTGACACCGCATCTAACGACCGCGCGGCCGCCGGGGACGCTTTCCGTGGTGGCCCTGCCGACCGGGTCGTACCGACCGAGTCTTTGCCGCGCGCAGAAGCATTGGGGAAGGAGGAGGAGGCGGAAGCGGCAGCTGCAGCGGCGAAGGAGGAGGAGGAGGCGGAGAGGCCTCCTCGCGGGGTCGTGAGTACGGAGCAGCGGCATGGGGCTGCCCCTCATAGCTTCCCACCACCACCGTCACGCGGTCATTTGAATGCCGGCGTTGCCCACGCTGCAGTTGCTTCTGGACCCACCGCTGCTGCCGGCACAGAAGCCGCCGAAGGGCCGGTAGAGGCACTCGACGGCAACCGGCGGGGGGCAGCGGCGGAGCTAACCCGGTACCTGGCTCTTCCGTGCGCGCAAGAGGACCCGGATGAGGACGAGGATGAGGACGAGGAGGAGAGCCTCCCAGTGCCGCGCGGTGCCGCGGGGCTGCCGTTGCCTCAGCCGGAGTGGTCCCAAGAGCGCCCAAAGCAGCGGTACCGGGACATTCAGGGCCAGGACAGCCAACCGGCGACAGGAAGAGAGCAGCAGGAGGGCGGGGAGGAGGAGGAGGAGGAGGAAGACGGGGTTTCGTTGCCGCTCCCGTGCGTGAGTCGTAGCGTGGCTTTGGATGATTTCCGTGCCTTCCAGCCTCTGCCGCAGGGCGCTGTCGCTGTCACTGCGGTAGCGGCGGCGGCGGAGAAGGACGCGGAGCAGAACCTGATGTGGGGGGACTGGAGCAACGCAGACTTGCTTAGCAGGCCCGGCACAGTGGACAACGCTGCAGAGGACGCTGTGGAGGGGCGTTATTCGTTCAGGGGGCTCAAGGTGAGTGATGTGCAGAAGTGCGGGAAGGTGGGGTGTAGCGTCTTCTTGGGATGTTTTGGTCTTGTTGCGCTGGTATGCACAGTGTTGAGGAACCTCGTACATTGACATACTGTTACATGTAACGTAACGCTGGCTTCTGACGAAAGCGCTATCCTTCCTCCCCGATTCCTGCCTGGTTGCACGGCACACCATTTGCTCCTGGTCTGCCCCAACGCTATTTGCACTCCACCGCTACCGCCGCCACCGTCTGTCTTTGCGGGTCGAATAGGACGTTCATTGGGTCAGTCGGACAGGTCGGACAGGCAAACACGGAGGAGTGTAGGCAGCCACCTGATGAGGTGGAGGAAGTGCGTGGACGCATTCATCGACAACTATCAATGCCGCGCGGCTGTCCTCCCTCCCTCCCTACCTCCCTCCCCCTCTCCCTCCGCCCCATGCAGAACCCAACCGTGTCCAGTAGGCCACACTCACAGCCCCGGCAGCCACCGACCTTCAGGAGCCACCGAATGGAGCTCACCGCTCTGCCCCGCACCGCAACTGCAGCCATTGGAGTTAAAAGCTCCGTCGCCGCATCCGCACAAGATATCTGGCCCCCTCGGCAGACGCACGCCGGGCCTCATGCTGACGTGGCGGCTACCGGCAGCGGCCGGGTCACCGCATCGGACCGGCAGCTGCCGCGACAGTCTCAGCGGCCGGCCCTGTCGGTGTTTCGAGGCTTCAAGCCCAGCCACACCAAGGTAAATCAACAGCTGAGGAAGACGCAAGCGCCGACCGTGCGGGCTGTGGCTGATGCGACAGCAGCGGTGCCACTGCACTCCCGGTACAGTGCGGCAGATGATGCGGAGGATGAGGTTGGCCCAGAGGGCAGCACATCAATGGCAGGTAAGCTGCACCAGGTAACCACGGGGGCCTAGCTGTGCACTCCCCCGGAGCTTGCGGTGTGCAGCTTTTGTCATAAAACACCCTGGCTGGCTGGCTGCTGTTGCCACGTCCTTTCCAGCAAAAGGCTCACCGCTTACGCTATGTGCGCATGCACCTGCCTCGCTTCTAGCTTTAACTCTGTGTACCTGCTGAAACTATACAAAATTCCTGTGGCAAAACCATGCATAATTATAAAAACCGGCGGCCGTGTTGATCCATCTACATCCGGACATCATTCCGCAATCCAGACTTAGTAGCTCACCTAACATCTCCCTTGCCTGCGCACATGTTTCTCACTCATTGGCAACGTCTGTGGCACAAGCAGATGGAGATTGCGACGGCGTCCCGAGCATGCCCCATTCACCGTCGGTACTCTTGGGCTCGCCAGACACCTCCGCCGGGACCGATGCGACGGTCGGGGAAGCTGCAGGACTCCACTGCCAAAACCCTCAACCGCCTTCTCCTCGTCCCCCTTCGCGGATGCGGCAGCAGCGACCACCGCAACATCAGGTGCCTGGACCTGGTAGCCGCCGTGGTAGCGCCGCCTCCACCCCCGGCACAGCGCGGGAGCAGCTACAGCACCTCCGTCAACTTCGTCACCACCAGCACCAGCACCAGCTCTTCCTTCGGCGCAGTAAGCAGATTGCCTGCCATTCCTCCGTCTCTCCCACGCCTGCTGCTGCAGCAGAAGCCTCCGCCGCGAGGCAGGCCTGCGAGTCCGCACGACCCACGGCCAGAAGCTCCTCTGCACGGGTCGGCCAGGTCGCTATGACATACAACAATGGAGACAGCAGTCCCGCGCGCATTACAGAGTGCGAAGTCCTTGTTGAGGAGGATGAGGTGGAGGTGCGGGGTGAGGCTAGCCCGCTTGACGTGCCCCGATTGGGCTCCGGCGTGGGGATGATCCTGCGGAAGATGCAGTCGCTGGCGCAAGTCATTTCCAGGCCGGTGCCGACGGTAGCTGCGGAACCTCCTGGTGGGCGGCGCCGCGGCGGCGGTGGTGGTCCTGTCGGGATGTCGGGGAGGGGCATCGCACTGCCGGAAGGTGATGGATTGGAGCCGGGTGTGGGTGAGGCGGTATGGGAAGAGGCTGCGCGGCGGGCAGCTACCAGCGCTGCCAATGTACCGCCTTCCGTGCAGCTGTACCGAGGTCTTCCCGTACTGGAGGACCCGGAGAAGCTGCGGCCGATGCGGTGGGTGGTGTGTCCCATGGTGTGGAAAGGGATCACAGTGTTGGTGCATGTAAGGGACCGCGTGATGTCCACCATGTTGCTGTTCGAGTTGGGAGGGTTGTTTGGATGATGTGCGTGGCTGCTGTTTACGCAAAGAAGCTTGCTGCTGTGTGTTTTTGTCTGCGGATGTACAGGGCGGCTAAGCACCTCCACCCCGGTTGGGTGGCGTCACGGCAGCTCAAGCCGGAACTGGAGGCCCTGTGGCGCCCAACAGACCACGCACATGAGGTGACGACTGGGGATGTGGGGAAGGGGATAAGGGAGAGCAAGAAGGGAGAAAGGTAGGGGGAATGATAGGAAGCGGAAAGACGGGAGAAAGGATTGGGCGTTGCTACTGGCGTCGTGTTACTGGGAGATGAAGGTACACCGAAGGGGGGAATAGGACGGGGTATAGAGCGCCGCCTAGAAAGCCTCCTGTTGTCCAACTGCCTGGGGGCCTCCCGGTATACGGTGGTGCACGGGGTTGAGAGGTTGAGAGGCAGGACTGAAGGACGTGAGGACAGCAGGACAGGGGTGAGCGGGGACCGCCCTCATCTGTTTTACCCTTACCGATGCACCTGTGGTGTACCTGAGCGTGCCTGTGCCTGTGCCCGAATGTCTGCTGGTCTGCGCGGTCACCTTGTCAAACCCTGCCAACCTGCAGGCGTGCAACACGCGAGGTGTGGCGTTCTACATGCCCCCCACCACCGCTGAGATCGCTGCCAGCGCAGTCGCGTTGCAATGGCTGTGCTGACAGTCGTCCAACAAGCCGTTGCAGGGCTCTCGCTGTTTTTTGCGTCTTCAGTTTGGTACTGAAAATTTGGAACTATGCACCAGCGAAGATTGGGACGACGCATTCGCAAAGTTAACGTGCATGTGTGCTAGAAGAAATTCCGTAACCATCTTAGAGTTTTATGGTTAAGGATGAACCCTTGCTGATGGGGAAGGGTTTCGTGTTTCGACAGCAACGTCCTCTCTCCCCGGTCCGGCGCTGCCAGGTACCCCGGTCAGAGCAGCGGCTGGTGAGTTCGGCTCTAGCTGTGGGTCGGGAACTGATGAAACCAATCTGTGGCATTTAAACAATTTGTTGTGCCGTGCGTCACCTGGGCATCTGGGTTTCTTGGTAGCTATTGGTATCAGTAGGCACAGACTACCCGGTGCAGCACCCACACCTTGTAGTTACGGGCACCAACCAACCTCGGTGATCCCAGTAGGGTGGTGGGGGAGCACTTAATAGTCACGAGACTCAGTTCATACAAGCGACAGGATAACCTCTTGCATAGCACACAGCGGAATTTGTGCCGTGCTGTGCTGAAATAGTGAGGAAGTCAGCGAAGCAGGGAATGCGAGGTATGGCTGCGTCCCAAGCCGTGGGGACCTCTGCCGTTGGTGAGGGCCCTTTGTACCCAGGCTCTCTCCCCTTGGGGAGCCTGAGAATCTCCCCAAACGATTTTTCCTGGGGAGCATTTCGCCGTGGCTGAAGCGCCCTCACCGGACGCGCCCGACGAGTTAGGGAAGGTCCAGGAGTGACTCGCGCCCCCTAGCGCCGTCGATTTCCCGCAATCCTGGCGACCTTCCCGACGGCCCAGCACCATACCAGTTTGTACGGCATGTACACCCACAGTCCTAAGGCGCCTCAACAATCCTCAAGAGCCGGACAAAACTTGAAAATATGTCAGCGTCCTAATGGAAGATGTTTTCCGTGTTCACTTCCAAAAGACCTAAAGTCGTAAACATAAATTGGGGTCTGGCCTTCGGCAATCCTTAAGGCCTATCGCATAAACCACTACAAGACTTAACGTTTCCCACAAACACCGGTACCGTTCCCGAAGCCACTTGTCCATGTCCGGTGCGGCGAGGTTTTTAATCATTTAATTGTTTGCCGATACTCATAAGTTGCCATAGCTCCTATGTAGAAGACTGCAAGCACAATGGTTGCGGCAGTCGTTGCGTCCCCCGACGTCCTCGGAGATTGAGTCCCACGAATGGGGCTGGATGAGCGATCGTCGGCTTATGCCGCACCTCGAGCACTTGGTGAAGCACGCGTACGCTGCGGGGCAGCTGCAGGCACCTGCACCGCAGGTCCGAGTCATAGCTCGGAAACAGCAAGCGGACGACATCCAGCGTCCCGAGGCGGAATCCTACTTCGTAGGGAATCTAGGGCGATTGGCCTGGCAGGCAAGTTGGAGATGGCATGGTGCTGGGGGGGCTGGCAACATAAGCCTAGTTCTTACAGCTGTACTATCTCCTGCAGATGGTCCTAGAGCCCGCCCTGCAGAACACATTCGGCACTGCGGTGCAGTACGTACCGCATATGTGCAATAAGGGGTTTACCAAGGACCTGTCGGCCAGACGTATTGCAAGCTGGAGTCTGGTGGCCCCTGCCCCTGCGGTGGCAGTTGTATGGCCGCACGTGTTGACCTGGGTTTCCCATGCATGCCCTTGGTGAACGCACAGACCGTGGATCTACAGAAGGAACTGTGCTTACAGCTGATATGATTGCACGTGACGAGCGGTATGCCGCCAAGGTGGCAGAACACGTAATGCTTTCCCATGCTATGTTGCCCTGTTTGGTACCTCCACACTTTCATTTTGCCTTGCAGGCTGCGAGCCATGAGGGAGGAACTGATGCGGAGTTTTGAGGTGAATATGCATGTAGTCGCTGCATGCTTTCAACATCGCCAATCATGTTTTTGGGTGTGAGTGCAGGAAGGGAAGCAGGCAGCCAAGCGGGCAGGGGCACGCAGCATGGCAGCTGATTTGCTGGATGGGAATCTCAGTGATGCAGAGGACCTTGAGGAGGATGTGGTCGACGTGGGCGGCAGAAGCGGGCAGGTCTGCCACACAGCAGGTAATGTGTGGTGGTGGCACATTGGGCATTATTGCATTGCTGACGGATGGTACCCATGTACAGGGGCATTGGCGGTCGACCAGCAGCAGCTGGTGCGAGTGGTGGAAGTCACCGCGGCAGAAGCAGTAGTGGTGTAAGTGGCTGCTGTGGAAGTGGTGGATGTGGAAGCGGTGGCGACGGTAGCAGTGGTGGCAGAAGAAGTGGTGGTGGAAGAAGTGGCAGCGGTATCGGCAGCGGCAATCGGGCCTTACGAGGCGAGCTACCGCACCTGCAGCCGCACCTGCATGCTATGTTCAGCCCTAACAGCAGCAGTGGTAGGGGGATGGGAAGCGGTGGAACAGGTGGAAGGGGCGGCATTGGTGGGACTTTAGGGGGTGAGCAGGTGCAAGTGCCATGCATGCATGCTTAGTGCATGCAACGGTGGTGATGGGGCCTCAGGAGCCCAGACGGCTCAGTTGCCGCCGTTTATGCATGCCATATTTGGCTCAAATACCCGAGGGGGAAGCAGCGGCAGCAGCGGTGCCGGTAGAGGACGATTGGGCAATGGCAGGAAACGGTGATCAGGGACGCGGGAGGGTGAATAAGGGTGGCAGGCTTGCAGCAATCCTGGCGTCACTAAAATGAACGGAAGATGCAGTGTTGGTTTCATTGCACTGTGGCAACGAGATTGGTTCCAACAGGTTCCAACGTTGGGAAACGGACACCATGTCGGTGGCGGCAGAACGTTGAGCCCATCGGTGCCGAAAAGCCATTGCTTTGGAATTCTAATGTCAAGAAGGTCGTTGTGTCAAGTTTTCAGGGCGATTGGAGACTTCTGTGGTACCGGGTTTCGCGTGGCATTTGGGCCAGGTTCGAGTGTGGCCAGGTTCGAAAAGTTGAGGTTGTCCGTTCCAAGCCAAACTTGTGTTTGTAACCTTTGTTGCTGATCGAAAAGGCCTGTATAAAATTTTCAGGACGCGGGCTGCTTGGCGCCATGTCCGGTATGCCATGGCCAAGGTCGACTGCTGACACTCAACTCTGACACTAGTCAAGTTTGACATTGTAAACGAAATGACGCCCATCACAGCTCACGGCATCAGTTCAGGGTGTGGCTTACCAGTATGCCGGCATCGGTATGGCTGCTGTACGTCCTGGAAGGTCCTCTCCATGAATGCCAGCTTCCCTGCTCGAGAGCACCAGCACTTTAATCCCCTCGACTCTGCTGCTGTGGCAATCTGGGCTAAGACAGCGCATCTCGCGCTCCGTGATGCCTGGGACCCCATCGACGACAACGGGAATACACCGGGCCAGGAGTCTGGCGACGGAGGGCTCTTGCAACGACTGTTTACCGTTCAGGACTCGGAATTCGAGTTTTACTTGCCCCTGCCGCCAAACGTTGACCTGGTCGTCCCGGGGTCGGCGGGACGAGCCCTTGTCCCGGCACGACCGGCACGGTACGGCAATACCTATACACGGCTGTGTCCGTTTAAAATAAGGAAACAGGGTTTCAATGAGATTGGATTTGTCCTGCCAGGTCCAGGAGATGCAGCATGGAGCTGTCAACCGTTTTGTGAGCAGTTGTCGGCTACCGGTGTGGAGCCGGGATGCACGGTACCACCTGGGAGCTGATTGCTGGCGGAGTATGGGGCATAAGTGAGACGTGAGCTCAGGAAGTAGGCCTGTACCAGAGTCCTCGTGACCCTAAATGCTCTTACACCTGGTAGGAAGCAAGCACTGTGAACCAATGGCTGCACCCTGACCCATTGCTGTCGTTACACCTGCAGCCTGCCAGATTTATTGCTCAATGCCCAGCGTTCAGCACAATGGCTTTGTGTCCTGCCAGCATTAGAGACCTTGAAATGGTGAACGATGCTTCCCGAGATACCAAGATATTGTACATGTACCATGTACCCAGATACTGTACCCAGATACTGTACATGTACATTTACAAGAGGACAACAAATAAGACCAGTAGGCCCATGTCCATAGTCCAGGGCAACGGAGGGGTTTACCCTGGGGCCGTGTTACCCCTCCTGCAGGGTTCTTCACCAGGGTACCCAAAAATTTCGGTGGTGTCCGAAACCCTCTGAATAACCTTTCGGGACACTCCCCGAAAATTTTCCTGTCAGCCTGACCGTGTTTTCGGGCACCCCGAAACTGTCTGAAGCGGTTTTTCGGGGTACATTTTAGCTTGATTCTATCGTAATATGCTAGGACCGCTGAATTAACAGGTGTTTGACTTCATTCTGGAACATTGAAATATTTCAGCAAGGATTTTACCCAAAACCAAGGAGGCGCCGTTCCTCATCCACCTCTGCAGCAATCGCTTCCACCACACCTGCCACATCATCATCCGTCTCCTCAGACGGGTACACCTCATCACTTGCCACACTCTCGACCTCCTCGTTATCAGAAGGATAATAGGCCTTAGCAATTTCACTATCCACACTGTCCTCATCATCACTCTCATCAGGCATAACACAGTTGCCCACCTTGGCAGTACGGTGCAGGAGCCCATCCGGGTCTTTGCAACATACAGAAGCAAAAGCTAAGAATAAGAAGCTGCGAATCCCGAGGGAGATGCGGGGCACCTTGGTTGGGAGCTAAAAAAAAAGGGCCCTCCCCAATGGCAGAGGTCCCCACGGCTTGGGGATACAGCCATAGCTGCAGAATGCCCATCCCATCCCCATCATTTCTCCAGTAAGTCACTTGTAATGTAGATATGCTAAAAACCTAAGAAACGTCAAGAGGACAGGAAAGAGGTATATTGGAAATTCATGCAGCTTCTTGGTAGTTCCCTTCGTTCCGTTCCCTTAAGTAGCTGTTCAATTGTCCTTCGAAGCGCAGCAGAAATACTTGTGGCCCCTTGAGGTTCGATGTGTGGAATAAGGCCAGTTTCTTTTTAAAGTAATATATTCCTTTTAAGGAATAAAGAGGCCATTTTGGCCTTTGGAAAAAAGGAATAAATTGAGGCCGATCCGTACATTTTCATTCCTCCAGCCAAAAACGTCCATTGCTGCCAGATTGCTCCGTAGTGTGTAGAACTTAGTATTATCGATCATAGAATAGATATGAGGGGCCGTAAGAAGGTCAAGCCCGTGAGTCAACGCGGCATAGCAGAATGTATGACCGGTCCTTACATAGCCAAACACACAAAAGGCAACGACTTGAACACCGAACAAACACCAAAACAGCAAGATAAGCCTGAAAATTTTCCTGATAAAGGCGTTTGGGACGGCGGTGCTGTTGTCGGTAATGCTTCGGCAATGGTGTTGCTGCCAGTGGCGACCGATGACACGGGCGCCATTACCCCTGCCTTCCATGGCGGTTGTGATCAGCATAAGCGCAAGCTGTCACAATCAGCTCGACAACAACGAATGCGGCGAGGTGCCCAACCCGAGCGCTCGCAGTGCCAAGCGGGCTCAGACACAGTGCATCCGCAAGGGCATGAGCGATGGTGCATGGTGGGACAAGCAGAAAGAAAATCCCCACAGATGGCAGATTGCCTGGGCCGCCAGGTATCCCTGGGCCCAGCCTGTGCATGCTGACGTGGACGCCGGAGAAGTGCACGACCAAGTGTGCTGCATCCCCTGCACGTTGATGAAGAAGAGCGACTACCTGACCATAACTTATCGAGGGGGGTCTGGGGGGGGTGTAGCCCCCCCCAGCGCCCCACTCTTAAGGAATACATTACGGCAACGCTAGCAACTTTGTTACTTAGGTCGGAATAAATTGAGACCCCCCCTAAATGAAAAAAAATCACTGAATAAGGCTCTTCAGCAGAACGCATGTGATGGAACTCAAACGGGTTCCATCCAAAACGATTGCGGTGTCCTTTTGCTGGTAGGGACCTCCCAAACTTTAAACCCCACTTTAAAGTTGCCATTGGCATGTTACCCTAAATCAGCACCCAGGTCTCAGCACCAAGGTGGCTGTCCATTGATACACATCAGCTCAGACATTGTTTGTGTAAGAACCCAAGCATTAAGCACTAAACAAGGGCAAGAGCACGGGTCGTTTTTGAGGGAGTAGTGGGATCCCTTATGACAGTTGAACGTTCATTGAGTATGTGTAAGGCCCAATGGGACAGATAACAGCTGGTGCTTGTGTTGGCGCCATCACGGTGGGCGTGCGAGTGTGTGAGTGAAGGTGTGTTGGAATGGAAAAGGGGAGGGCAGATGGGAAAATGTCCATGGGCCCAAGTCTCTCAAAAGCACAGAAAGTGACACCGCATGCTATGTACACACAATGGCCTCACCGTAAGGGGAATTCCTCGGTTTAGTATATCATGTCGCCAACTAAGACGGCTCCCTGAAGGCTTTCACAGGAAACACCGCACATCATGGGTGCATAATTTCTCCCAGCTGCTGTTCCGGCCCGCATTAATGCGGTTTACAGATAAAAGGACATTATTGAGTATATGGGTGAACTAATGTGAGTAAATTGTCAGACACAGATGGAGTAAAGGGCCGGTACACCACGAGTCTATGCGGGCCAGGCACAGACGCATCAGTCAGAGAAATGATGACGAGAGACAGCAGAAGGGCTTTAAGACTAGCAGGGTTCAAGACCCAAAACGTTTGCAGCGCACCCTCGTCAGCCTGTCAGCCAATCCCAGGTCTCAGGCTCAGTAAGACTGTCTGTCAATCTCAAGTCTCTTGGCGAGTACGGTACACCCGCGGACCGATCACCTATGGGGCCTATGTTTGGATTATATCTATACAATAAGGAATACTATTATTCCCTTTCGAAATGGTCATCTTCACTGCTCCTCTTGTCTCATCTCAGAAAAACGTGGGCTAACCGGATTCCTCTTGCCCATTCCTCTTTCGGCATGCCCGTGAATCACTCCAAAACAATACAACAGCATTTCACTACATTATAAATAACTGCAGAAGTCTCTCATACGCAATACACCTGCTAATGTTAAGTTAACAATCTTTTGTCCATCCGCAGCAGCCATGGAAGCGATTAAAGAGCAGCTGCAGCAATTAAATAGTGAGGTTTCTGATGAGAATGCAAAGCTGGGGGAAGCGGTAAATGAGCTCTGCAAGAACCCAGAGAACAAAATCCTTAATGGTGAGTACAGCCAGATTGTCCAGACCCTCGTGGAATTAAATGCCTGCCAGAAGAACCTAGAGGAGAAACTGCAAGGTGAGATCGTGATGTATCGTGAACCCCACCTGTTAATGGATCCAAGCCTGCCATGCATCATGTTATGGCATTGTAGCAAGCTACATTTACCTTAGAATATCTTTAAGCTATTAAAGCTTAATCACAGTAACGGTACGGTCCCGTATTTACGAACCATACTCGTTAACTGTACGAACTCACTTTCTGGTTGTAGCAAGCTACATTTACCTTAGAATATCTTTAAGCTATTAAAGCTTAATCACAGTAACGGTACGGTCCCGTATTTACGAACCATACTCGTTAACTGTACGAACTCACTTTCTGGTACGCTATCACAACCTAGCGTACGACACCAAGACTCCAGGAATGGAGATGGCGGCAGGTGGGCCGCATTTAAGCCACCCAGGTGAAGTGCTTCGGCCAGACACTTAACGTATCACTATACTAGTGTTCAGGGTTCAAGACCTTGCTGTCACCGTTCTCGACGTATGTCTTCGAATCCCGACTTCCCTTGTCTCTTCTCACGCCTAACGCTGGGTCGCCAATCGTGGACGAGACCCTCTGCTTCCGCTAAAACAGCTAAGGTAAGAGACGGCTGTTACATTTTGGTATCGACGATCATTTGTTCGGTCCTCGCCTCACATTGCGCCGCAGCAGTTACTCGCCCATTGTCTGAGTCTTAGACTCGACTTTCTGGAAATGGTTCCTAAGCCTATAGCTAAGACTAAGGCTGTTTCTTTGAGCGATGCTAAGCACGTTCCTATTCCGCGACCGAAGTCTAAGACTACGGCGCAAATTCCTGCCGATGCTACAACCGCTTCGGACTCACTTCGTGTTGCGAAAATTAAAAAGCGCAAATTAAGGAAACAATCCTTCGCTTCGCTTCGTAAATACCTTTCCTCTGTCCCTGTTGATAATGACATTCAGGACACGATGACGCCAACTGATAACGTGGCGACTGCCCTCGACACTACTGGCAATGATGCGGTTGACGCGACGACGGAAGTTCCCAAAGCCAAAGCGCCTGGCACTTTGCCAGCGCATTTGGTTGAAACTTTACGACAGTCAGTGCCGAACCGCGTCGGCGCCTTGGAGCGTTCCCTGGAAGGAACGCACCAGGAGATGGCAGAACTGCGTGACGACATTATATCGTTACGCAATTCTTCACAGCGTGTGGAGACGCAACTCCAGGAGTTACTCTCCAAGCTGTCAACACCCTCAAGCCCACCACCTCCCAATCCACGGTCCGTGGCCATTTGCAAGATTATCAAGCAAGTGGCTGCGTCTTCCTTGGCTGGCATTTTGTCCAAAGAGAGTCTTCAGGTTACCGCTTTCCAGGCGGCCCTGGACTCCCTGACGATAGAGCCGGAGGTCACCTTGGAGGAGGTCCGGAAACTTTGGGACACCGGTGCGGTGGAGAGCAGCCCTGGCGGTAGCGCTACGGACTCCGACTCCGCGCGGCCTGCGCTACAGCCCACGGGCAAAACGCCGTGTACCGAGGTGAGTACGCAGAAACGCGTTCCGCTTCCCCCAAAATTTTCGGGAAAAAGGGATACGCATATTACTTGCACCCGATCGTGGTTCGAGTTCCTTTTGCAATACTTAGACTTAATGCAAATGGACCCGTTAGAGCACTTTGTCTACTTCGTATCGGGCAAAGCTCTAGTCTGGGCCACGGACATTTTCGGGGAGCACCGATCGGGCAAGAAGCTTTTGACGCGTGATTCTTTACGTGCTGCCTTTTTGTTGCAATATGGCGATACGCAACCCAACACGGCTATGGCCGCCCGCGATAGGTTGCATGCGAACGAACACGCCATGAAAGCAACTGAAACAGTGCCCGAATATACTCAACGTTTTCACGATATAATTCGTGAAGCGAAAGATATGAACCCTAGCGATCAAATCGGCTGGTACGTTAAGGGGTTACTACCACCTTTGCGCAGCCGGTGTGCGACAAGCGAAGAGGGCAAAGATTGGGACAGCTTAGATAAGCTAATCCTTTACGCTGTTGGGCAAGAGGTTCGATGGCAGTCGGGCAAAGACAAGCCTACCGTCCATGCAGTTAGCGCTGACCTTAATGCGATCACTGCTAAAAAGCCCTTCAATAAATTTAAGCGTTCGTCCTCTGATCGCAATTCGCAGGGTTGGCAACCCGCCAATCGGCCCAAGAAGGCGCGTCTGGAGCAAGAACAGCTGGCGGCACACACTTGCCGCAAATGCCGTCGCGTGAAGCCCGCCCACCAGAGCTGGGCGGACCACAAGCCCGACTGCATTCGACACCTCAAGGCTAACGCCGAGAAGACGCTGTCCCTTGCCGCGAAGATATAGAATGCCATGGCTG